CTCATAGTTTCTGCTGAATCTGTTCTCTGGGCATATGATGGGCTTTGGAGAGTTAAATACATTCGAAATGTTTTAAAGTTTTCTCCTGGTGTGTTTGTCAGACCTCAAATCCCACTTAATTCTGACTAGTAAATCTGGCCTGGAGGCACAGCAGCTATGAGGGAGCGCCAGGGAGCCCTCCCGCCCACGCGGCCGGCGGCCAGGGCTCTCAGCACAGCCGAAGCCTTTCCAGAAGTGCGGCTACCTCCTTGCCTACTTCCGCTTCCCGAAGAGTGCTAGATTGAGCTTTCGCTCACACGCTGTTTCTTTTCTTTCTACTGAAGTATCCTGGGATAAGAGCACCCGAAAGGCTGCAGGCACTGAATAAAGCTGTAGGAGGAAACAGTGGAAGGCCTGGATGGGGTGCAGAAGCAGGATCCAGCTTCCTCTTCTCAGTTATCCTTTATCCCGGCCTCCTCCCGGCACGCAGCGATAACGGGACAAAGCGAGGTTGATGTTTCACTTGCCAAAAGAACTTTTGAGAGGAACGATATCACTTTGCCATGCTTGCCTTCGACCACAACCGAGACCGGGAATGTAAATGAACACAGCAGGCTCAGTTTTGGAAATAACAGGGCAAAGCGGAAATGGGAGCGCGGTGGGTGGGAGCGCGGGCGCTCAAGCCGGGTGGCAGTGGTGCTGGCTTGCTCTAGGCCACGGCGGGACACTGTCACATCCTCGGTTTTAAAGTGAACTCAAAATGCAAATTTTCACCTCAAACCTCCTGATTTTTTTTTAAAGTGTTGTGCATCATTAAAAAAAAAAAAGGCTTTTGTGGTCCAAACGAAATCTGTGTGCAGGCTGGAGGTGGCCCCAAGTACTCCAGGGGATCGGTTCTGGTCCCTCGGGTCCTCAGCTACTTGAGCCCTCGGCAAATCAGAGAGGGGGCAAGTACACTGACTGTTCCAGAAAGGGTGGGGTACGGGGTACCCCGAATCATGGCCGCGCGTCCTGGTCCACCAGTGAGGAGGAGGAGGACCACAGCCAGCTTGCGGGCAGGTTCGGCTCTGTGGGGTGCGCCTGCTGCGCTGCTGGACTGCGGCGGGGCATCGGTGCGTCCCAGCCCCGATATTTAGGGCGCTCCAGCTTAAAAAAGAGTAACACCACGCACCCGGAATATGTCGGCGCAGGATGGTGACACGGTTATTGGTGAGTCATTAGAATTAAGTTCTGTTTTTCTTGGATTTCTAGCTTGGCTAAGCCTGTAAAGAAAATGGGGAACAGCGGAATATTTCCCAGTGCTGTCGCTTGTCCTCCGATCTTCTCCACGTCGCTTATTCACGCGCACAGCAACTACTTGGGCCTGCCAGACGGTGAGCACTGTTGTTCTACGTGCAGCAAGGCCCTCTTAGCACAGGAGAGACTGCTATTCCAGGCCCTGATGGTTCCTAACTGGATATAGATTGTGTTTTTTTCCTGTGTTTACTTACATACCTGTACATAGGTCTAAATGTTAATTTATAAGTTTAGTTTTAGAAGGATAATTATAATTAAGCACAGTAAGAGTTTAATTTATAAATCAGGCATAGTAAGAGATCAGCACCAGTAACTAATAAGAGAACAGTTACACCATACTGTAACAACTTGCTTAAAGCTTATGGTTTATTTTTGGAATTTTCCATTTAATTTTTTCAGACGATTAAGTAAACTGAGGTTGTACAAGTGAAGCTGCAGATGGAGGTATGGGTGTGGGGAACAGCTGGACTGTGGACACAGCAGAGCTGCCCAGGGGACACATGGCCTAGACCCGATGGCACGCCTTGCGTGGAAGTCTTTTGAAAAGGTGGACAGGCATCATTCCTCCTTCCCTCTGGATAAGGTCGGGCTTGAGTAAGACTGAAAAAGAGACGTGGTGATTATGAGTATGGGCAAAAAATAAGCAGAGGGATAATGTTTTTGTGTTCTGGTATATCGTCAGGACGTTCTAGGATGGCTGCAAAAGTGCCAGCAACTGCTGCTTGTGGTTCACTTGCTGGGGTGGCGTGATTCTGCCCTCCGTCTTCATGATTCTCTGGGTGTAGTCATCTCAGCGTGCTCTAGCTCTCCTCTGGATCGATGTGGAGTCCCGGGAGATCCTGCTGGAAGTGGAATCCCAACATAGAAAGTCCCAAACAATAGAGAATAATATTTCTTCACAGCCTGTTCACCCGGCTGTACATAATACCTAAAGCTCTCAGTGGATGAGCATAGGAGACAGAATGCTGACTTTCATGGCCCATTTAGGACTGCAGTATTTCTTTAAAGAAGCAAAAGCTATGGGGCCAATTCTGCTCTATCACGTATTTTTTGTTTTGGGGTACACTGTTAGGTAATGACATAAATGACGCCACTGCCTTTTGTTTTGAACTCTTGGTAAGTTAGGCTCAAACCTCAATACTGCAAATGTGTATTTCTAGACTATTTCATCATCACCTCACAGCAGACCAGTGTCACATGAGCACAGAAGGACACACCTTCTGAGACGCAGGCACCCCTTGAGCAAACCGAGACCACCAAGGCTCTCTCAGTAGGGATCCACTCTTGGAGTGCTGGCTACATCAGTCACACTGAGGATGTGCTAATACCCTCTGTGATTCATTGCTGGCCTTCTCACATGTTCTGGTCATACAGCCAGATGTGAGCTGCAGCTCTTAATAAACGTCAGGTAATGGAGCCGGGGAGATAGCTCAGAGAATAAGCACTTGCCTGGCAAGCACCAGGGCCTGAGTTCAATCCCCAGTTCTGCAAAACAAACAAATGAACAACCCCCCTCCCCAAAGTCAGGTAAACAGCTATTGTACTTGCCATGAAGAAAACACTGGAATCTTTGTGGAACCCCAAGATGATGTTCAAATAAACATAGTAGAACATCAAAATCGGAAGGTGTCCTTATTTATAGAAAAGAGTATGACAGACTGTGTTTTGGTTTTTGTCTAGTTGTCTCCCCAAAGCCTCATTTAATCATTGGGGCAGGTTCTAGAGTTTGTGATTAATTCATGATCTAATGTGGGGATTACAGGTGTGAGCCCTACACCCTCTCTGGGGCAGACAGTTTGGAGACAAGATGAGGGAGAGAGGTCTGCTAGCTGCCACAGCCCCTGCTCCTCCCTTGCTCTTTGCTGTTTTCCACTGCCATGACCGGCTTCTCTCTGCCATATGCCGCTCTGCCTTAGAGCCAGCTGAGTATGGACTGAAACCTCCACTAACTGTGAGCTAAATAAACCTTTCCTTCCTTCATTTTCCAATATTTTGTCTCAGCAACAGACTGCTTAGGTGTTCAGTGAAGTAGATCGCTTTTAGAAGTGAGGAATTAATCCTGTATAGCATATTGCCATGTTGTGAATTAAATCAGGATTTGGTAGGATTACAAAATGAAAAAGCAGTGAATATCAGGCATTTGTCAACAGTTCATTTTTTACAGCAACATCAAAGGGAAATTTAAATACAGTTTCACGTAGGCAGGCAAAGACTACAATAGGAACATAAAATGCCACATTTAACCCATACATACACATAAATCAAACATGTATGTGCAAGTAAAATCCTGTGGATACTTCTGAGTAAATTTATGAAATTTTGCTATATTGGAAACATAGCCCATCACATATCCTGAAAGTTAGGCTTTTAGGTATATAAACATAACCATTTGATATCTAGACAAGTATGTATCATTGTTAAAGACAGTCAGAAATTTATACACATTCCTACATGGGAATGTGTATTCTGATCCTGGCTTTACAGATAAGCAGTTGTTTTTTTTTTTTTTTTTTTTTAAACCTTTTAGAGCGTGGTGTCTGTTTGTTCTTCTTAAGTCCTTTGGTGTGAGAGGGGGATCATGTGTCATTTATTTGGAACACTGCATGTATGCAGTCTAGCTTCACTCTTCATGTAAAACAGGCTGTCTGCATATGTCCCCTAGTTATCAAGCCCATTTCAGCCTCATCCATTTTTCAGTAATCTTTAAGGGAGAGGTAACATATGGCATTGCTGTATGACTTTAACTCCTTATTTATATGAGGACTGTTACTTTCAAAGACAGTACCTACCCCATAAAGTAGCTTGGAGGGCCAGGTTAATGAATGGGACTAGAACAGAGAAGGTTAGAGTGAGCTCTTCTATTTCAGTGAGACGAGAATTACTACTTAAAGCCACATTCTGGGCTGGAATAAAAGTTACAGCCACAGTCTGTTGTGCTATAGAATCTAGAATCTAACTCCAGTGGTGCCAGGTTGGACAAAATGTAAAAAAAGACCCAAAATGTAAAAAAAAAAACAACAAATGTGGGTTAAGACTGTGGCATTTAGAACATGAACCCAGCCAGAGAGGGCAGAACAACCTGGTCCTCTCATGCTGCTGTTTTCTGGGGATCTGGCCCATTGCTAGAGAATGCTGCTTTTCCAGAGAAGCTAGAAGTTAGGTCATTAGGGGCCTTCCCATTAGCTCAGTTGTTTAAGTGCCTGCTTAGGCAAAGCAATCAGGCTCAGGATTCTGTGGTTGGATCCCCAGATCCTCATGCCTTATTAGACCTGCACTTAAGGCATCCTGAGCTGACTAAAAAAAAAAAAAAAAAAGAAGTTAGGTCATTAGGTGAATTCTTATAATTCATATGCACTGATAATGTATTTCAATGAAAAAAAGGTATGGCCAAAAGCTACTGCTTGGTCAATGGATCTGGATGTACCAGGATTCAACTGCTTGACATGCTGGTGATAGTGGCCTTGATTTCTCATTGTCTGGAGGTCAGCCCAAACAGATGGGGACGTAAATTAATCTTCAGTTCCTGGCTCCTTCACAAAACACACAGGATCTATGTCAACTGGGAGTTTTCTGGGCAAAACTGAATGTTTGGTGCTGTCTCTTCAGTGACCAGCAGTATGGGGAGAACTAGCAGGGGGAGGATTGGTGTGGCGTGGACTCGTGTGACAGGGATCAGCAATGACCTTTGGCCAGAGAACACAAGGAAACTGTAGAACACAGATAGGTGAAGAGTTTAACACAATTTATTTTATGCTTAAATAATTGACTAGGTCATCCAGTGTCTGGTTTTTCATACATACATCACTAGAGCTCTGTGTCGATGAATGCTGATTTTTATGTGAATATAATCAACAAATTAAAGAATTCCACCAAACCCCAAATAAAAATGCCCTTTAAAACACAGCAGCCTTATTAACCTAACATGACACTGCTCGGATGGTTACAAATGATTGGCTTACGGATAGGTGTCTATATCTGAGAGCCAGTACACGATACAGTAAGAAGTCTACAGCGTGCTGCCATTCTACTAGCTAAGGTTTCTGTTCAGTCCGTCTTAAATACCCCGGCTGGGGCCCCTGCTGGAGCACGGTCCGTCTCCACAGCGGCAAGCATTACCCCCTTTTAAGCACTAACAGCATCCCCCCACCCCTAAAGCAACTACTGTATAGGTCTTTTTTTTTTTTGCATTTTTAAGTCATTTCATTGAAAAATTGGCAATAGCAACAAATAGTAATGAAGGGCTTTGTGTTTACAGATAAAATCTTCTGTGTTGCAGTATACTGTAGTGTTTGCAAAATTGGAAAAGATTTAATCAAAATAAGGTGATACACATGCATCAAAATATTAGTATTCTGAAGAAAAAATTTTCACACAACTACAGAATTCCTCATTTTGGGAATTAAATTTGCAGCAGATTTTAAAGATTTTTTTTTTTTAAAATCAAGCTAGCTGTTTTGCATATACAAACATTATAGTTGCTAATGTACAAGAGTCAGGGGGGCGACCCTGCCCAGGACCTCGCCCCTCTTCTAGGGGCATCTCTTGAGACCCCTATTATGCTAAATGCATCTGCAGTATTGTGTTTGTGTTCTAAGAGGCAGTGCCTTACCAGCATTTATTCTATTTTTTTCTGTTAGAATTTATACAGTGTTACTATTTACAGCAAAACTACCGATGTTTTAAAAAAGAAACAAATAGTGTTTATACCCTGACAGTTTGGGTCCAAGAAAAATAAGGCGAGCTGTTGTGGATTTAGTAATTTTAGTGTTTCTTCGAGATTTGACCATGTCATCTCCTTCTGTCCCTTCTGGCGGCAGGAATTTCCTTTGAAAGTGACACCAAGTTACTCGAGCTAAATGGCTAAGAGCGTGGCTTCCTGTATGTACACTGTGTTGCTAACTGCACACGCGCTAGTCCTGGAAGGGAGCGTGAGTTCCATGCTCTGGAAGGTGGCTCATGCTAAATAAAAAAGGGAGTGATTTTCTTCTCTTTTTTTTCTTTTTGCATAAAAAAATCATGCCATTAATGTGTGGAAGCAGCAAGCACACACACCCTTCTCCGTGACTTCTTTCCTTCCTGTTGATATTTCTTTCATGAATTTCTCAATACTGGCAGTAAAAATACATGATCCTGTGGAAAGAGAGAGATAATAGGTAGTGTTAGCTTGCTTTCACCATGTTTTCTGAGCACTTGCCTAAGACTTTCCTGGTATTCAACAGAAAGGCCTTCAAGAACAAGGACTCTTCCTTGGTGGGTGGTTCGGCTACCTGCTAAACGCCTTGGAGACAATGCCCTGGGGTGTTCTGGAAAACTGCCACCTTATTTTCACAGAAATGAAGCTTTTAGAAGTTGTGTTGGAAAGACTGCCTCATGGCTCTACTCTAAAGATTGGGTTGCTGAGCTATTTATAAACTCTTTAGGGTTCAGTTTTGCCACCTGAAGGACACGGCACCGAGATCACCATCAGTATCGAAACTTAAGAGGCCACAGGCTTTTGTGGACATAAAAGGCCGGGCACATGGAGTCAGGGCTGAATAGCCTGTCATTTCTACAGATTTATCAGTCCTTCACCTGCTAAAATCCAACTGATCTTGCAAAAATGCAGAATAATTTCATTGCATCATTACTCTAAAATTGCTTTTCCACATATAAATTAAAGCTAGAGACTAACTTGTACTACTGCAAAGAATTCTTTCCCTTCTCTTGTCTGCACCCATCACGATGGGATAAAGTAACCTGAGCTTTTACGTTGGGACTTAACTAAGAAGGTCGTATCTTGCTGGATGATTCCTGCACAAAGCATCAGTGTTTTCTAGTGAGTCTTTGTCAAAACGAATGCATGCTCTGCAGCAGAGCTCTGTGCTCCGCGCAGTGCTGTGGGTGTGAGTCCTCCACAAGTCTTCCCTACAGAGTCTTTCCTCCTCAGTCCGTGTAAAAAGGTGCAAGCCTGAGCGACTTTCTGAGCACAAGACGGTTGGCCCCTACAGAATCTGCGCGCGGCGAGAACTGCAAGAACACCCTCGTCCACACACACGTAAGCGGCAGACTGGTTGCAGGACTGGAGACCCTTCATAAACAATTCCACTTGTGTTGGGCTGGGAGTGTTCATGATGACCTGAAGTTTCCTTCTCTTTGGATGAGTCACTGTGACACCGAGTCTTACATAGACATGTCAGAACAGCATCTCCTCTGCCTCCTCACCTAGGATTTGGGCTTCTCTTTTTGTTTTGAAAATGGCACTGACCTCAATCCACCAGGTCGCTAATCCTTGGAGCCACAAACACCAAAGTATCGGTGTCTTCCTGCGTGGCTCCAAGGCTCCCCCCTCGCCCTCACCTCTGCAGAAGTTCTAGAGAAGGAAAGTGACTCATGCGGTCAGATCCCTAGTGGTAGGATCATGGTTTCCACACCTCGGTTGCTGCCATTTAATCCTGATCTCGCAGGCACCAGGCTTCGCGCGTGGCCCTGGGATAACATTACTGCCATGCTGTTGCTTGGCTCTCTTTGCAGCACTTGCCTCTGAGTAGATTTTCTGCATTTTAATCTTAATTGACATAATGTATAAACCATACTTCCTCTATTATAAACATAATTTGATAATTAGATGGGAGATTACAGCAATCTGGTTGAACTTTTTTTTTTTTTTTTGTGCAGGGTCTCACTATGCAGCTTAGACTTGTATGGATGCTCCTGTTTTCAGCCTCCCCAGAGCTGGGGATTACAGGTGCACATCACCACACCCGACCCAGTTGCCGGCTCAGCATGCCTGGGGGTGTGGCCAGCATGGCATGTGGTGTGGGGGATCGAATGCTGGCCCCTGCACTTGCTTAAAAAGGTGCTTAGTTCGCTGAGCTATCTTGCTGGCCCTTGAACTTTTTCTTTCCCTTCATCTCGTCTAAACACCAATTCAGCTTCCCAGGTTAATTTTGTAATGTGAAAAGTCTTTTTCTTCCTGTCTAAACAGGAGCAACTGCTATCTTTCTAGATATAGTGCATCAATTTATCAGATTTTATAATGCTGTTATTAGTCCCATCTATATTGGGGTACGTTTGGTGTAATGTCTTTTTTACAAGTGGGAGTTACCCTATAAATCTTTCTCATTTTCAGTCATGCAATCAGGGTGTGGATCCCAACGCCATGAAGCACAGAATGACACTGATTGGACAAGATCCTTGATGCACAGTATTGTGCAGACTGTACGAGACCTTGGCAAGTGATGCTCTACACACTACGAACTGTACTGAAAGTGCCATCTAATGGGAAGGTGCGAGGACGCACACCAGCAGCAAGGCCTGCAGGAAGGGAGTCAAATCATCTCTTGTTTCTGGTTGAAATAATGGGCATGAGGTAGATATACTTAGTTCAGGAATCTTTGAGTTGGTATGTCTTTCATAGCTAGGAAATTTGTCTTTCAAGGGTAGGAGACATATAACTAATCATTCCTACCACTTCATGGTAATTAATGTTTTTTAAGTAAACATTTTAAATACAGAAAAACAGCAAGGAAACAGGTTGTCATTTGATGTTTCTCAGGCTGCACCGTACAGATTGCAGCTTCAAGCGAGGTGCACGCCTAGGTGTAGACCCAGGCCCTCCTTACAGACCCCTTGCCCCACGCGTGGGTCTTAGCTCCGAGGCCTACGCAAACGGTGGCCCTACGTCTTAGCCTGGCATCTGAAGCTCTGTGTAACACAGCCCAGCATGTACTTTTTGTTCAGTTCCTAGTATCCCCAGCTGAAAAGCTTTGTTTCACAATTTCTAGTGGTCTTCAAACTTGATTGCAATAGAATTATCTGAGAAAATTTAAGAAGTCCAAAGCCCAGCCCATAGTCCAACGGAATGATCTAGAATTTTCTGGGGTGGAGCGCCATATAACTTTTTAAAACTCTTTAGAGCACTCCACTGAATCTGATAGTCACTGATGTGCCCTTGAGGAATGCCGCTCAGAGTCTACCGTGCGTACAGTGCCCTGGGACAGTCTTCAGGGATAGGCTTTTGTCAGGAGGCTGGGTGAGCTCGGGCCCTGTGTGCTTTGAAGGCTCTCAGCAGTGCGGGCACAGCGGACTGACAGCCTCGTCCAGGGCCTCGACTACGTGCACCTCAGCGGCTGCGCACTGGCTTCCGCTGCCTTCCCTGTGCGCCCGAGTTTGCATCCACGTATAATTCCCTAATCATTACGCATCTGACTCTGCTTGGCATTTGTCCGTGGTGTTGTCTCCTTAAACGTGCAGATTTTACATTTCGTGGTGAGACCTCCTGGCCTGCTCCCCCTCTCCCATCTGAGAGATGCAGTTACGTCAGTGTGGAAGGAGGAAAGCCTTTCTGATGTGTCCCCGTCCCCTGAGGATGGTGAGGATTCTTTGCTTGAGTTTTCTTCCTCTCTCCTCCCTCCACCCCTCTTTCCTTCCTTTTGCTTCTCTCTAGTTTTAGGAGTCACGGAGCTAAGAATCTTCTCCCTAAGTACTAGTTACCATATGTAATTATAATAAACTACAATTTCCTCTTAAAATAATACCAATTCAGGTAGATGTACTCATCGCTAAAATCACTAAATTTTTAGCTTGTTATTTTCTAGTTATCAGTGATGTTAAAAAAAAAAATCAAAGTAATAGATAGTAGGTGAAGAATACTAGAAAAAAACTGATTAACATTTTGACAGTAAAAAAAACCCACATGATTTATTTTTATTAAATGCTTCTTATAAGGCTGGGTGTGGTGGCTCATGCCTGTAATCCCAGCACCTGGGAGGCTGAGGTGGGGGTCTGCTGCACGTTCGAGACCAGCCTGGGCTACAAAGTGAGCTCAAGGCCAGCCTGAGCTGCATAGTGAGACCCTGTCTCAAAAAGACAAAAGGAAATAAAAAGCTTACTCTACGCCCGGCACTGTCTTAAAGTGGAGTAACTCATTTAGTAGCTCAGGTGGGATTATTTCCTCCATTGTATAGACAGAAGGCGGCCTACAGAGGCAAACAGCAAACCCCAGCATTCACCGTGCATGGTGCAATCAGGATCGGAACTCGAGCCACTGGCTCTCAACCTTGGTCTTCACTTGACCTAAGGCTTTTATGTAGTAAGGCATTTGGATAAAGGGTGAGACAAATAAACAAGAAAAACACAAAGTACAAAGATCTATTCCAAATGAAAGCTGGGAAAATATCCTGAAGGTAGGGTCCAGAATTTGGGGTTTGTTTTTGAAAACAGGAATCAAACTCGGGACCTTGCGCTTGCTGGGGAGGCCCTTGTGGCGCTGAGCTATCTCCCTAGCCCGGGGTCCCTGAACTTGGAACAGAGTTCTGGCCATGGCTCTAACTTCCTCAAGGTAGAATCAGGAAATGGATTCTACCTAAAATCAGTAAAACCCACATCTGGCATTTCCTGCAGCCTCGGAAATTCTGCCACCTTTCTGTCTCAGTTGTTAGCAAAAGGGACGAGAATCCCTGTTTTGGTAGTTTCCTGGAGTTATCATGAGAAACCTGCGGAGAGTAGCAGCGTGAGACACCACCTGGTTAGGAGGACTTCAGCGTCGCCACCGTCCTGGCTGCGCTGCTGCAGGTGGGCACCGCTGGCTGCCGCTGCTGTCCACCAGCCTCCGAAAGCCAGGCCCTGCTAGCATCTTCTTGAGTTTTCTCCCTTGCTCTGACTGCACGCTTACGACGGGCTTGGGAGCCACCACTGAGCAAGGCAGATACACTAATTCGCTTAATTCTAAAAATCACTTGGAGATAGGTTACTACTGCCTCTAACCTGAAATACAGCATGATGGTTGTTCATTACAGCTTAATACCAAGCTCAGTCTCCGTTCACTTGGGATGGTAGTAATAGAAGTGAGGAAATCAAGACGCAGAAGTTTAGTGACCTGGCCAAGCTCAGGTAGTTAGTAGACTGCTTGGCGATTTGGTCTACTCCGGCCACTTCACTTCTCACGCTTGTATCAAAGATGGTCACAGAGAGATCTCTAGTGGAGGCTTTGGTTTGAAATCTCTGGTAAACATGGAGCACCCTGTACATCCCATCGGCATATCCCAGCTTGGCAGCTCAACCCTAAGTCTGTTTTTGTGGCCTTGGGTTCTGTATTTGGGCTAATGATTACCTACAAGCTAGCAATCCTGGTCATTTTTCCCTCTTTCCTC